TTTTTTTTTTTTTGTGAATTTGTCTTTGCTTAACATTGGCCGGCTTGGTTCATGCTTTCCCTTGAGCCTATCCCCAGCAAACAATCAGGATACCTGCAGCCAACAAGAGTCTTTGAGGGGAAAGGGGATCTGCTGGAAATCAGGGCCCTGGGGCAAATCCATACAAAATCTTGCTATGTCTGCCTCAAGATCCCCAGCATCCCAGCCCCTCTTGGGAAACTGGAGCACACCAAGCACCCCACTCAGTATAACTCTGGTTATGCTTGGGAGCAGACTGGATCCTCTGGACACCTGCTCATCGCTGCATCACTAGTTGCTTGAGGTTCATCTGTCCTCCACATGCCAGGCTCTTTACCATCAGGCTCATAGACGGGCACACAATCAGGAGCAGGCTGGGAGATGAAGGTCGTCGGATCCTAATGATTTGAGTGAAGCTTTTTCCTGACGTGGTTGGAGCTCGCTGAGCTGGGAGGATCTCCCAAGGAGCAGGGAAGTTTCCGCCGGCGGCAGTGAGTCAGCGTAGACACCTTGTGACGTGTGCTGTCGTGTTGGGGCAGCCCGAGAAGTCGCGGCTATTGAGCTCCAGCTTGGAGGGACATCTGCAGCTCATGGCCCCAAGTATGGAGAGTGGATGTTAGGTGGGCTGGGGACGTAGCACGCTCAGCACTCCCACCACAGTGCCAGCAGAGCCAGCCCCCAGTCCCTAAGGAACAGGCTTCTCCCTGCCATTCTGATGTGCGGGGCCGCTGCACGCGTGCTTGCACACACATGCATCCTCAAGCATACAGGTAGCTGCACACATGTCCACTTACAAGCACACACCAGGTCTGGTTGGCATTTTGGAGTCCCTCTGCCCGTGCGCCTCAGTTTCTCTTTGCTCCTGCTCCTGGAGTTTAGCAATCCCACTGACATGGGGTATAGCTGGGGTCGCCAGAGCGAGGAGTTGGTGATGGCTGAGGGGATTCTTTTACAGAAATGCTCCCTGGAACATGGCAAGGGTGCCTTCATGGCACAAGTGCCCTCATATTCTTACAGCACATCAAACCCCTTCAGAAGCTGCAGAATAACAAGGGGAACAGCTGATAAAATAGCAGCCACTGAGTGGGAACAAGCAGCAAAAACACAGAGTCGGGTTTCAGCTCTGCCGCATCCGGGTACAAGCCTGGGGGAGGGGGGGCCCAGATGCAGCCCCACATCCAGCCTCCCACCCCAGCTCCCCAGGGAGCAAGCCCTGCTGGCCACCAGCGCTCCCTGAGGTGGAAGCGACCATGGCTTTAAGGGCTGGGGCTGCTGCAAGCAGGGGATGGAACAGGTCTCCAGGCAAGCGGGAGGAATGCAGGGTCCTGTGCCAACAGCCTCCAAAAGTGGCGAATACTCTGGGAGAGACAAAAGTGCTCTAGCAAGAAAGGGATCTGCCAGGGCCTTGCATGATGGGGGGACCCCTCCAGCCTCTCAGCAGACAGAGGGATTCTCTTGTCCAAAAGTAGGAGCAACTTATGCTTCCTGAATGCCCCATTAATAGTGCTGTGCTTCTTCCACTGCCAAGCATTGTCACAAGTCCGACAGTTCCACAGATACTAACCAAATAATACCGAAGAGACTAGTATTGTGTTTTTCATGTTTTAAGCACTGCTGACATCCCTGTCAGGTCCTGCGCGTACTCCTGCAGGTAGCAGCTCCTGGCGTGGGAACAGGCTCCATGTGAATTGCCTCAGCAACAGTGGCAGGGCAGAGGACACGGCAGGTCCACTCTCTGCCTGGGGAGCACAGGGTGTCCTGCCACTTTTGGGGGTGGCCCTCCCTGTAGCCCATGTGTGTGCTGGCATGGGAGGTGACAACCTGGTGCCAGGGGAAGGAGCTGTGCCCGGCAGGGGCTCCTGCAGCAATGACTCAGAGTTGGGTGTTTATGGGTCCCACATGTTCAGTTCTGCTGTTTCCCTCCAGCACTGGGAAAGGAAGAGGGAAGTATAAAAATTCCTATAGCAGCTGCTGCTGCGTCTGCACCCCCTTTACCCCCATCCCAAATCCTCGTCTCCACCCAGACCCCACTCCAGCGTGGGCAAGGGCCAGGGAAGTGGCTTTATGGGAGCAATTTGCAGGGGTAGTGCATGCTGGCAGCCAAAGCAAACAACATACGAGCCCGTGACAATTGCCCGCCTGCCCTGGGACCACCTAGCAAGCGCCGCTGCTCCTGCTCGCCTTGCAGCAGCCTCCTGATGGGCTCAGCCTCCGCCTGAGGGCCAGTGGTCCCTGCATTGGGGGAAACCAGCGCAGGGACCTCCTGCACGGGCTGCCTGTGCCTGGGGATGCTCCAGAGGGTGGCCAGGGCTGCGTTCCAGGCCGTTTGCTCAGGCACACGCCAGTGCCCGGTGCTGATGCGGGAGTGAGGGGCTGGGCTTTCCTGCCCCTCCCGGCACATGACACATAGGTGGAGCACTGCAGCTGACCAAGGGTTGTGCAGGGTCGGGCACTGGTTGGGAGCTCGGGGCCTTGCTGAAGCTGTGCACAGGGCAGAGAAGGGTTTAGGCATGGGGTGAGGATGCTTTAGTTAATGAAGAAAGCAACCGGGGCTGGGGAGGGAGGGAGGAAAGGAAAATGGAGCAGAGGATGCTCCAAATCTATCCTGGCATGGATACCTCTGCCCCCCAACCTCTACACACATCCTTCCCCTAGAGCCGGTCCTGTGCCTGTCTTGTGTTTCCAGGCAAGGGACCACCTTGGAATGGCTGAGAGCCCACACCAGCATGGGATCATGGCCCTGAATTGTCCCTTTTCAGACCCTCTGAACCTGAAGCAATGTGCTTTGTGGCAGCAGCAGTCCCTGGGCAGATTAGTTTCCCCTAGCGGGGAGCCTAGACATGTGGCAGGGCCTGGCCCAGCAGTGCTGTCGGATGCCCAGCGAGGCAGCCGGGAGGGAAGTCTGCAAGCGAGTGGTGGTGCAGACAGAGGTGGGAACGCAGAGGGAGCTGGGGCAGCAGCCCCCTCTGTTAGGCCCTGACTCAAGCCTGGGACAACTTGTGGGAGAGAATTGATCCGTTTGCGGCACAGTCAAGGGCCTTTTCCTGTCCCCAACAGGACCCTGGTGCCTGGGCTGCACGGGGAGGAGCAGTCAGGCAGCACCTGCCTCGAGATGCACGACACGCGGCCCCTCGATCCTGCGCTGGCGCTCGCGTGTGGGAGCACGGGCTCCCCGGCAGCTCCAGCCCTGCCTTGCCCATCGCTTCCATGCGCTGCGGCTTAGCCTGGCCCTCCAGCACCGGCACTTCCCGTTGCTGAAGCTGCTCTGGTTGCGGCTCTGCTGCACCAGCACGGGAACGTGGGGCTTAAGCCAGATCGTTGTTTTTCCCTAAGGCCCCATAGGGTTAAACCAATTGGGCATGTAGCTGACCCTGGGGTCACAGCACAGCCAGGGAGGGGACAGCAGGATGGCTGTGGCCAAAGCCCACCTTGGCGTGGGGAGGGTGCCCAGCCTCTCATTCTGGTGGAACAGGAGTCTCCTAAAGCATCTCCCCAGCCTGGCCCCTGCTGCAGCGCAGCCCTCCATCTGCTCTGGCCCTCCCTCACTCCCGCGATGGGGCACAGATGGGAGCGATGGGGCTTACAGCTTCACCCCTCCAAGAAACGCGTCCTGGCACACAGGCACATGCAGACACGGATGTGCAAACTGGCGCGTTCACACGAGTGTGCAGAACTGCCGATGCCCTCACGCATGCAAAGAGAGCCCTCCCCCAGGCCCCCCACGCTGGGGGCTGTGCTCGGCGGCTTGATGGATTGTGCCACACACAGCTCAGCGCTGCTGGTCTATCGGCTGGGATCTCGGCCGCACGGGCTAATCCAGCCCTGACATCACATTCCTCCGCAGTGGGACTCCGGCGCTGTTAACCCTGCTGGGGCCAGGCGCGAGCCTGCGCAGGAGGCGCTGGGGGGCAGAGAGGGCCCTGTCGCCGGTGCCCCTGCCCTGCACTGGCTGCACCCGCTGCTTGAGCCGCCCGGGGCCACTGGAGCCGGGGAGCGCGGGCGCATCCGCCTGCCCCCGAGCTTGGCCCGGCTGGTGGCCTGCGGGTAGCGGTGGGCACAGCCCCGCACCGTCCTCTTGCAGCCGACCCTCCTAAAGGCACACGTGTCCCTGTCTGGTCCTTGCGCTGCTCCAGCTCTCTCCCTGCTTTCCTGGCTCCTTTGTCTGCTGCCGCAGGTATCCCGACTTCTCATGCCGGGCAGACACCGTCAGCTTGCTGCGCTCACCTCCCTTTTGCCCCTCTTCCGTCTCATTCGTCTCCCCCGGCCAGTTCCCCAGTGTCCTCAGGAAACTGGAGCCAGATGACAGATTTCAGCCGCATTTGCAGGAAATAAAAGGCAAGGAGCTGGGGGGATGGCCAGTCCCGACCCCCTCCCGCGCGGCGTTTCTGCGTCCTGAGCCAGCCCTGCTTCAACTGCTCCTGCTGCTGGCTGCGCTCCTTGTTTTCTTGGCAGAGAGCAGGAGGAATGTGTTTCAGTTTGAGTTTCTTGGCAGGAGGAGACCTAGGGAAGATTCTCCTCAATCCCGGCTGCGCCTGGCTCTCAAATTTATGCCCATAGGCTGCGACTTGGGTGGGCCGCGGCGGTGTGCGGCGGGCGGGGGAGGCAGGCGCTGGCGGGGGGAGCCGCGGGCTGGTTCCCATTGGCTCCGCGCTGTCCCCAGTCCCCTCTGGTTGCCTGGATCTGGGGAGCCCTCGCAGACTCCACCAGGGCAGCCGGGAGCCGGGGCCCGGCGTGTTTTTCCTTTTGCCCCCGCATTCCGCGGGGCAACACGAGGACGGGGCAGAGGCACCGTGGCCATCGTGTGCTTCTGAGCTGCCCAGCTGGTGAGAACCCAGCGTGTGCCAAGCTGAGCTTGGCGGCCAAACTCCCCTCACTTCCCATGTCCAGGAAAGAGTGGGTGACTTGGCCTGGTGGGACCCTGAGCGGGGAGGCAGGCTATGGCCGTGGCCCCACCAAACTGCCCTTGGGCTTGCACAGTGTGTATTGGAAGGGCCCAAAGGGCCACCCCTTGCAGGTGGTGCGATGATGCACCAAGCTTGGCAGTCATAGGGTGGGAGCGATGAGCCCACGCTCTCACCGCGCGTGTTGGCCTGCCATGCGCCCCTGTGTGCTTCATGTACCCGTGCATGCGCTCAGGAGCGTGCTGCGTGCCCGTGTGTGCAGTTCTTGTGATGCCCTTTCTGCACGTGCTCTGCATGTTTGCACACGTGGTGGTGAGCGTGGCAGGCCGAACGTGATTGAGGATGGCCACAGTTGAGGGGCAGCAGAAAGGCTATAAACACATTAACCCTCTTTCTGGAAGGCTAGATGCCCCACGATGTCCCTGCCTTCTCTGGGACTCAGGGCAGCGGGAACAGGGTAAGTGAGGCCCTTAAGTGTCCCCAGCTGTGCAAGTGAGGCTAAGGGCTCCCCTCTGCATGTGCCTCTTCCCTGCTGTCAGCAGCAGGAAGCCCAGAGGTGCCAGGTGGGACCCACAGCGGTTGTACCCTCTAACTTTGGGGGCTGTGCAGGCAGCAGTGCAGGGACTAAGGTCCCGAGGATGTGCAAAGTCTTACAGGTTAGTGTATACATGTATCTGCACAGGTATGTGTATACGCGTGGGAGTGTGCTTGTGTATGAATCTGTGTGAGTGTTAAGTATGTGCATGTGTATACATTTGTATCTGCACATGTGTGTGTGCCAGCTTGTGTGTGGGTGGCACGGTCTTTGCTCACATGCGTACATGCATATATGTACATATGTGTATGCACGTGTGTGTGCATCTGCCCGCATGCCTCCACAGACACGTGCAAATGTTCCTGCATCTTGGTGTGTGCACAAGCAAACAGGTGTGTGCAAAAAGGCCAAGGTCTGGGATTGACTCCACAACTAGACAGACTTTCGGGAGGAATCTGTGCACTTCCTTCCTTGTCAGATGCTGTGGCTGGTGCAGGGGGAGCCAGGTGGGCTTTCCCTGGAGCTGCTCCCCTCATCTCCCCGTCTTTGCTATGGGGACCAGAGTCAGCCTTGCTTCCATTTCTTGCTCTTCCTCCTCATGTCCTTCTCTTCCCAGGCTGCAGCCCTTGCACCTTCCCTGGGTGCTCCATCCCCCTTTGCCTGCCCTGCCGTGTCCCGTCCACCCCCCCAGGCTCATTCTTCCCGGCTGACACTCTCACAAAGCCCCTAGACAGGCTTTCAAAGGGGCAACTCATGCGGAAGAATCACTGCCCCCCTCTCCTCCCTGCTCCAAATGCAACCAGGCGCTTTCCCAGCGGGGCGAGGGGCTCCCACCTCCAATGCCCTGGCCGTTTATTTGGGGTGGTTCACTCTGTTTCTCCAAGGGGGAGGCGGAGGACGTGGGAGGCCTGGGCTGGGCACCGCGCACATGGTGCCCTGCCTCATCCCTTGCTTCTTGCTCCTCACAGAGCCGCCCTCCCTCTTGCAGGGGCTCGGGATGGGACGCGTTCGGGACAGCGGGGCTGGGAGCGGAGCTGGGACCTGGCGCTCGAGCCGCCTGGCAAACCTGAGCATGGGCAGCGCCAGGTGGAGGCGGGTGGCAGTGAGAGCGGCCGCCGGGCCGGGGCTCCAGGCAGGCAGGCGGCCGTGGGCTGGGCGCAGCCCTGTGCGCAGGGGTGGGATGTGCGGGTGGGACAGGGCAGGGTTTTGACCCGCGGGCAAGGCGGGATCCCGCCGGCAAGGCAGGGCTGGGCGGGACCTGCGGGCCTGGCAGGGGCCCACGGGCAGGGCGGAGCAGGGTGCCAGCTCCGAGCCCGCGGCCGAGAGTTCCTCCGTCCGTGTGCCCGGGAGCTGGAGCCAGCCCTGTGCCCCCCGCTGGAGGTGGCCTTGCTGCCGGGTGCCCCTTGCTGCCGGGCACCGCTGCTCCGGCGCCAGCTCCTGTGCTGCGGCGTCCAGGGCGCAGGGGGCTGCCGGGCACCGGCGGAGCAGGAACGGACACGTCGTCTGCGGAGCGGCGCCCGGTTCCTCTGCCCGGGACCCTCCTCCTTAATGACCACAGCTCCCAGTGTGGGGGACAGGCCGCCCCTTGTCGCCCGCCCCCCCGGGCTGGTGACCGGGGCTGCGGCGGCCCCTACTGGCCACAGGCCCGCGGTGCCCCCCGCGGCTGCGGGCGCAGCCCCTGGGTGGGAACCCACCAGAGCGGTGAGTTTGCCAGGTCTCTGCCCGGCTGCGGCACACAGGGTGGGGGAGATGGAGCAGGTAGCGGCTGGACCCTGGAGGGGAGCACGAGAAGCTCTCTGGAAGGTGACATGTGCCCGCTTTTCTCTTCCTCAGACTGGCTCCTGCTTTGAGACCTGGGTCTACCTGTCTCCAAGGACCAGATGTGCCGCTGAGCCTGGCCAGGCCCTGCTGTGTCATGTTCAACCCCATGAATCCCCCAGTCAGCAGCTATGTTGAGCACTGCTACCTACGTCCCCTCCATGGACCAGCATCTGGCACCCCAGGACCACAAGGTTGGTCGCAGAGCCTTCCTGCTGACCAGCGCCTGGTCTGGCCTCACTGGGCTCTGAGCAATGCCTGGCACAGGCACGGAGGCACCTGATTTCTGTTTCTTGTGTCCAAAGATGCTCGTGTGTGAGGGCCTGGGGCTACCTTATCCCCTTCATGCACCTGCACCTTAACGAGTTCTCTCACTTTTCTCTTCCCTTCTACCAGGACTTGACTTCTCCTTGCGCCATCAATCAAACATTATGGGCAGTCACCATGGGTATGGGCTGGTGCCAGGCACTGAGCACCTAGGCCCTGGTGATGGTAAGTCCCCCATCTCTGGGGAAGGGTTGCGAGGCGTTGAGGCCACCCCCAGGGGATGATGTTGGTTGTGTGAGGAGCACAGGTGTGTTGGTGACGGGCTGAGGCCCTGCTGGGGACAGTGATGGTTGTGAAAAGGCAGGAGAGTGCAGAGCTTTCAGGTCCCTTGAGTACAACGAGGCCTGCGAGCAGGAGATGGGTATGTGCCAAGAGGCAAGAGGTTGAGGTGATTGCTTGCGTGTTTGTTTGCTTGGGGATTTGTGTTGGATGTGGCTGAGGGCAATTATTGGCCAAGGGGGTTAGGCCCTTTCTTAGGATGGCATTGGCTGTGGCAGAGGGTGTAGGTGTGTATCAAGGGGTTCCGCCTCCTCCAAGGACATAGGTAGCTATGGGAGGGGATGGGGGATGCTCATAGCCTTGCCATAGCCCGGAGCCAGCGCTTGGCGCCTTTGGGGTACTCCTCCAGGCTCTGTAGCACCATGTTTGTGTCCTCGGGGGGTATCTTCAGCCTCCTGGGACCCAAGCTAAGAGGAGTGCCCCCCAATCTCTGCCACCATCCCAGGCTCGCGGTTCTCAACACCCCGTGGTGCAGGCAAGCTGGGCAAGAAGCGGGCACTGTCCATCTCACCCCTGTCAGATTCTAGCATTGACCTGCAAACGGTGATCCGCACCTCGCCCAACTCCCTCGTTGCTTTCATCAACTCCCGCTGCGCTTCCGCCAGCGGCTCCTACGGCCATCTCTCCATCAGCACCATCAGGTGGGCACCAGACATCAGCCCTGCTGGCACGGGCACAGTCCCTCCGTGTAGGATCCTGCATGCCAGGGCCCAAAATGGAGTGTCTGGAGGGACTAGGGAAGGGGGAAGCAGTTGGCCCAGAGGGCTGCTTACCTAAGGAGGGCAGCGGGGGCCGTGGCTTAGGGCAGCAGTGGCTGGGAGCTCAGGCACCTGGGCTCTCTGCCTGGCTCAGAGAGGCTGGAATTTCTGTCCTGTGCTCATGCCATCTGTTCATCCCTCTTGCTCTTTGCAGTCCGTCATTGGGGTATCAGAGTCCTCCGGGTCAGCAGAAGGGCCAAGGGCACCTGTTTGGCCACACTCCCCCGCTGCCCCCATGTAGCTCCCATGAACATCTGCCCAGCCGCCCAGGGCTGCTGCCTCCTGCTTCAGCTCGCAGCAGCCTGAAGCACTGCCAGGTAAGGGGGCCCCAGGGGATATTTCCGACCTGAGGCAAGACAGGGACCCTTGAGTAAGGCAGGACTGGTGGGGGGGACCTATGGGCTTCACAAGGGCCCACAAGCTGAGCAGTGATGTCAATTAGCTCTTCTGATTTGAAGAACGCGCCGCGGGTGGGGAGTGTTCCCATTGAACCTGCAAGCATGCCTGCAACAGGGTGTCTGCCATGCACCCACCCTGGAGGGTGGCTGGTGGGCAGCCCACTGCTGTCTGCTTTTCACTCCCCCTCTCTCCCCTGTCATGGTAGCAGCTGAAGTTGGAGCGGAGTTTGAGCAGCCCTTTGACAGCCAAATACCCCGAGGAGAGATCCGAGGGTGATGTGTCCAGTCCAGCCTCCACAGGCACCCAGGTACAGCACCCCACGGGCCTTGAGACCATCCCCTTCCTTCAAGGCTCCACACTCCTCCTCAGTGTCACTTCCAGTGACAGGGAGCCAAAGGGTCATGCCTGAGGGTGATAATCTAACTCTGCCCACTCAGGACCCCTTGTTGGGGATGCTCGATGTTCGGGAGGATCTGGAGAAGGAGGATGGGAAAACTGAGGCTGAGACTGTCTACGAAACCAATTGCTACTGGGATGGTTGTGCCAAAGAATTTGACACTCAGGAGCAGCTGGTGCATGTGAGTTGGGTCCTGCCTGGGCCCCCCAGCCCTAGAACTTGTCCCTGGTCTGCTGGCTGACATCCCTCGGTGTCAGCTTTTGACCCTACCCTGAGACTGACCTATGCTGGGCTGAACCCCACTAAGAACTCGCCACACAGGTGAGCGATGTTGGAAGTTGTTCCTAGGGAGGGAGGGACATGCATCCTCCACTTCTTGTAGGTAAGTCCTTGGTGATTCCCCCGTGCCATGTTTCTAGGAACACCCCCAAATACGGCCTTTTTCTCCCTGTTGGGGCAGTTCTCTTGAAATTCTGGTGCCTTTCCAGACTTTGCTCTCCGTGTCTTCTCCATGCCACTATAACTCCCTTCTACGCCTTTGGTCATCTTCATAGATCACCTTGATCCCTTTTTCTTCTCTTTGTCCTCCTGAGATAACTCAAACGTGTCTCCTGTATCCTCTGCCTCCTCCAGACTCCAGCTGACCGCTCCATATCTCCTTAATCCCCTGTGTTTCCACAAGCTGTCCCATTCCTTCTGCATCCACCTTCCCGCTATGATATCCTCTAAGATGCCTGTATACATGGATCCCTTGGTGCTCTCTCTCTCCAGCATATCAACAATGAGCATATCCATGGGGAGAAGAAGGAGTTCGTGTGCCACTGGGCAGCCTGTTCCCGGGAGCAGAGGCCCTTCAAGGCTCAGTACATGTTGGTGGTGCACATGCGGCGGCACACGGGCGAGAAACCTCACAAGTGCACGGTGAGCTGGCCTAGACGTCTGCAAAGCACCCACTGCGTGGTGGGGACTTGCACCAGGCAAAGCTTGGGGCAGGGTAGGGCTGGCCCAAGCCGGCACTGAAGGGTGGGGAAGATGGGGTGGGAGGTAGGACAGATGGGGTGGTCAGGAGTGTGGTAATTTATGGCAGGGTGGGGTGCGTGTGTGTCAGGCCAGGGCACGGGTGCATCTGAGGTGAACGGGTACATGCAGCAGACTGGGCACGCTGTGCTTATGAGGTGCCATGATCTATGCCAGAGGGGTCAAGGGCTGTGTGGCGGGGTGGGAACGCGCACCTGCAGGTGGGCAGGTGTGTGGGCGGTGCGGGAGGTGTCCACGGCAGATGTGTCATGGGTATATGGTGTGGGGTGATGTGGTACAGGTCTGTTGAAGGTATGTGGCATGTTTCACCCTGCCTGCCTGCACAGTTTGAGGGCTGTAACAAAGCCTACTCGCGCCTGGAGAACCTCAAGACACATCTGCGCTCCCACACGGGTGAGAAACCCTACGTGTGTGAACACGAGGGTTGTAACAAGGCCTTCTCCAACGCTTCTGACCGAGCCAAGCACCAAAACCGCACCCACTCCAATGAGGTAGGGTTCAGCCGAGACTCCTTTGCATCCCCATGACCCTTGACTCCTCCTACACCTCTCTGCATGCCCAGGTCTTTCTCTGTGTGTGCCAACTCTCTCCTGCCTGCTCCGTAAAGTGTAGTCCCCTGTTCCCCTCCTTGGGCACCTACATGCTCCCCGAGGCCCCCTTGCTCCCTGCCCTGTTCCTGTGCAGCCACAGCACTTGCGTTACTGCCCAGGCTTCTCAGTACCCCCCTTCAGGGCCTTGAAAGGAAGCACTTGATGTGCCCCTCCAAGGGGATACGGTCTCCTTGATCCCTTCCCACCTCCAGTTCCCAGGTTTGCTGGAGATGGGGAGGAGGGAGCTCTATTCCATGCTGCATTGGGAGGTGTTTCCTGTTTTGAAATAATGCCCTCCCTCCATTCCTCCATTTCTGCATTTTCCTGTGGCAGAAGCCTTATGTGTGCAAGATCCCAGGCTGCACTAAGCGCTACACAGATCCCAGCTCCCTGCGCAAACACGTGAAAACTGTGCACGGTCCAGACGCCCACGTCACCAAGAAGCACCGAGGCGACGTGGTGCCAGGCCGCTCACTGCCTGCTCCCAGCATCGCTCCTGATCTGAAGCAGGAAAAGGACCCCAACGGCCCTAGCGATGCCCGGAAGGATGACAGCAAACTCTTGGTGCCGGACTTGGCCTTGGTAAGGAGCTGACACGGGTTGAAGCTGCAGGGACATCCAGCCAGGTCTGGAAGAAGGGTCAGTTTGCACGGAGGGGTGACGTGTGACAGGCGTCACAGTTTGCCCCACGTGTGCAGTGGATGTCCTATCTCGGTTGTTTTCCTTTGCTAATTGCCTGGGTTTCCCCAGAAGCCGCAGCCCAGCCCAGGTGGGCAGTCATCCTGCAGCAGCGACCACTCTCCTCTCGGCAGCACCACCAACAATGACAGTGGTGTGGAGATGACCGGCAACGCAGGTGGCAGCTATGAGGACCTGTCCACGCTGGAGGAGGTGGTGCCTGGGGAAGCCATGGGCACCTCAGGACTCATGGCCCTCCACAAACTGGAAAATCTTCGCATTGACAAATTGAAGCAGATGAGAAAGCCATCAGCTGCCAAGGAGAGCCTGAAGTTGCCCACCATTCCTGGAGCCGGTGAGACCATGGCACCCACTCACCTGGGTGCAGCCTTGTGGGCACGGGCTTGAGCAAAGTGGTGTTTCGAGTCAAAGTGTTTTCCGCTTTGCTTTTGCGAGCCTAGGAGCCTCACACATGGGCTCCACCCCACCTTCTACCCCTCCTCATTGCTGTCGCTTGACCCCCTTTCTTGTCCTGGCAGGCGCCATGCATGGGATGTTCCTCCTCCAAGCGTGGGTGCCGTGCTGTGCTCTGATGCAACTCCCCTTTCCTTTCTCCAGGCCTGCCCGGAGAGATGCCTGGGCTCTCTGTGCCCGCGCCGGTCGCCTCGCACCGCCGCATCGCGGAGCTGGGCATGCCGCCGGGCGAGCGCCGGAGCAGTGCCACCAGCACCGTAAGCTCAGCCTACACGGTTAGCCGCCGCTCTTCCCTGGTGTCCCCGTACCTGCCTGGGCCATGCCTGGGCGTCGAGGCCGGGGCGCTGCCGAGCGGGGCCGGCCTGGCGGACGGCTCTGATCCCATCTCTCCGGACGCCTCGCGACGCTCCAGCGATGCCAGCCACTGCGGGGGACTGCCCGGCGTGGGCAGCCTCACGCCTGCCCAGCGCTACCGGCTCAAAGCCAAATACGCCATGGCCACAGGTGGCCCCCCGCCCACCCCGCTGCCCAGCGTGGAGCGGGGGGGCCTGGGGGGCCGCGGCAGCTTGCCTGGGGACTGCGTGGGGGCAGCCGTGCCCTCCGCCCTGGCAAACGGCTCCGTGCGAAGGCACAGCTCCAACGAGTACCCTGGCTATGCAGGCGGCGTCCGTCTTCACCTGGTGCCGGGGAATGGGGTGCGACGGGCCAGCGACCCTGCCCGGACAGTGGCCAACCCGCACGCTGTGCCCAAAGTGAACCGTTTTAAGAGCGTGGGCAATGTGAATGCGCCAGGAGTGGGCAGAGTTGCCCTGCAGCCCCTGGGCGGTTCCGATGCCAACCTCCAGCGCCACGTCTTCTCCCCGCGCCCACCCAGCATCAGTGAAAATGTTTTCTTGGAAAGCATCAACATGGAGAGCCCTGGCCCGGGCACAGAGCCTGCCTTGCTGGAGATGGGGCAGTACTTGAACTACCCTGCCGACCGCTTCCAGTGCCAGGGCACGGGCATGGAGCTCCGGGGGGAAGGCCCGTACCATGGTGCTCCCCGGACCACGGCGGGCATGCAGCTGCACCCCGGTGAGCCTGGGGATATGGAAGAGGCCTTGCTTCAGTCTGAGTTCTCCCTGCCTCAGTGCCAGGTGAATTCGCATTTCATGAGTATGTGCGCTGGCACCGAGACCGTGCCAGCTCTTTGGGATGAACCTTCCCAGGGCAACCTGGATTTGAATTCAGGGCAGCCAAGTGTCACTGTGCCCACCACTCCCATGTCTGGGGGCCACTGTCACCATCACAGTCCTCAGTACCCACTACCTGGTGCTTGTGGACAGCAACCCAAACTTATGAACACGTGCCAGGACAGTGGATTTTCTGGTGGGCACCAGCTAAACCGACTGCAGATCAAATCTGAGCAGCATTACCCAGCGCCTGCCCCGGTGCTCACATCCTGCCAGAATGCCACCCCTCCCCGACCCATGCAGCCTCCCGCATCCTTTGGCCAAGGCATGAACGCGAGGCCTGCTGGTTTCCAGCCCGAGGAGCGGGCAGGCGTCAGCTACACGGGCATGTTGAGCCCGGGCGGGCGACGAGCCCAGACGCCCACTCTGCAGGCCAAAGAAGTGATGGTCCGTAGCTACGTGCAGGCCCAGCAGGCTCTGATGTGGGGAGACGAGCTCGCCTGCAAGGGAGGGGAGGTGGGCATGGCACTGGGCAGCGAACGTGGGCAGTGCCAAGCCATGCAGGCGCCGCTGTACCTCAGCCCCAAGTACGCGGGTTATCAAGAGAAGCCAGATCACCTGCAGGGTCTGGCAGAAAACCAACACCTCCTCAGCCCCCCTTGCTTTAGCCCAGAGATGGTGCCGCATCCTCCCGATGGCCCCAAGCCGCTTGGGCATCCAAACAGCCTGGGCTATGCGGGCAACCTTGCAGAGCCGAGCCACTCCTATGAGGGGGTGGAAGCTCCAGGCGCCAGCTCGCGGTGCCTGCTTCACTTGCCTCCTGTTCACCCCACGCCCCAGGGACCCACCAACCCTCTCATGTATTACCCAGGCCAGGGTACACACACGGAAGCGCATAAAGATGGGCATAAGGTGCTGAGCCACGTGGCAGCGAGCTGTGGGGGTCCTGCTCATTACGGGGCGAGCTTGGAAGGCCTGAAGGGCAGCTCCTATCCCTACCTGGATTCGGGGGAGCAGGTGGCCAACAGCTTGGACTCGCTGGACCTGGAGAACACGCACCTTGATTTTGCGGCCATCGTGGAGGATTCGGAGGCGCCTGCGCTGCTGCCGGGACCGCCAAGCCCTGCTGGTGGCCTCCTGCTTCCCGCATCCAGCAGTGCCAACATGGCCGTGGGTGACATGAGCTCCATGCTGAGCACCCTGGCAGGGGAGAGCCATTTCCTCAACTCCCTGTCCTAGCTGGGTGCACCAGCGAGCAGGTGGGTACGTCTGCTGCAGCCTGAGGGTCCCCCAGCCTTTCTGGGGCAGAGGCAGGAGGCCCCCAGAGCTCTCCACCGTTTATGCCCTGTGGAGCAGAGTGCCCCTGCAGCAGTTTGTCACTGTCAGGCTTTTCCATGGGAAGGATCCTGCAGAGCCCAAGATGCAGCTGCAAGGGGGATTCCTGAGCACCTCTGCAAGGGGTAACGTGCCAGACCTGGCGCCTCCGCTTCAGTGCCCCTTTTCCTTGCCTTCCCCAGGCCTCTGGACCAAGCAGTCCCATGCAAAGCCTTAATGTCAAAACCAAAGAGTTTTACCCATGCAGGCAGGTGTCCTCCCTGTGTCCCTGCTGCTCCCCCTCAAATCCTCGTCCTTGTGAGGACTCCAGTTGCTCTTTTCCTGACAAGACTCTCCTGCTCCCATTTGCCCAAGGATGGGAGAGCGGGGGGACCGTCCTCTAGCATGGGGATGCCAGCAGGAGGCCTTGGGGTGCCTGGTGCCGCCTGCACCGTTCTGTATATACTGTGCATATGTGTATGTCTTCCTTGCAGGTGTCACCTCAGCCTCTGTTTTGTTTGACAGCAGCCACAGTCGCCCTCCCTTCCCATTAAACCCTTTCTCAGGGGAGCATGAGCTGTGTGCATCTTTATCCCTGCAGCCAGGCTCCAAGCTGCCCCTGTGCCAGGCGCTGGAGACACCTCGCCCTCCTCTGCCTGCCTGGGGACCCTTTCTAGGGCTCTCAGAGATTATCTAGGTGTCTTTGAGGCTACTCTGGACCTCTTCCTAGGGTGCCCGGGTGTCGTTTGGATGCCTGAATGGTGCTGTACGTTCTCCAGTGAACCTCCTGAGGGCACTTCTGCTGCTTCTGCAAAGTATCTGTTCTCCTTGAAGCTTCTCCCAAAGCTTCAAAAGGCAGGTGCAGCTTCTCTGGGGCTGTGCCGTGCATTTTATCTGTTTGCTTAGACCCTCCTGGTGCCTCTGGGGTTGCTTCAGGACTCTTTCCTGGACCCTGGTTTTATTCCCAGGGCTCCAGGCTTCCAAGGGCTGGTGGAGTCTCCAGGGAGCTGTGGGCTCTGCAGAGCCTTTCCAAGGCATGCGGGATTCCTCCATCTCCGGGGTCTGCTCTCAAAATCTCAGCTCACCAGGGCCTGCTGTCCCTCCGTCTTCCCAGGCTCTTTGGGGAACGCAGAGCTCTTCTCGGGGACATCAGCAGCGCTTCCCTCGTCCTTCCTGGGGGCTCCGTGGCGCTGGCAGGCGCTGGCACTGCGCAGCAGGGGCAGGGGGAGCTCCCGGGGTGCTCTAGGCCCGCGGGGCTTGGACCGCCCCTGCCACGTGCATCGCTGCCGGCCACGAGGCACTGTCCGCGGGCCCAGCTCCGGCTGGTGCAGCGGAACAACCACGTGAGAGCCTCCACGAAGTGTCTTTGGCGGGGGCGTCCAAAGAGCAGGAGCAGCCAGCAGCCCTGCGCGTGTGCAGCCCGTGTGGCCGGGCAAGCTGCGGCCGCCTCCTGAGGACGTTTCAGAGCTGCAGCTGCCCGGCTCGCACGCACCCCTTGCAGCCGTGGTGCCTCCTGCACCGCCTCGTTCCGTTTCACGCAAGCAGCCAGGATTCTCGTGCCCCATGCAGGTGATGCCGCTCATGCCCCATGCAGGTGGTGCAGCTCGTACCCTGTGCAGGTGGTGCCACTCATGCCCCGTGCAGGTGATGCCGCTCATGCCCCGTGCAGGTGATGCTGCTCATGCCCCATGCAGGTGGTGCCACTCATGCCCCGTGCAGGTGATGCTGCTCATGCCCCGTGCAGGTGATGCCGCCCATGCCCCATGCAGGTGGTGCCACTCATGCTCCGTGCAGGTGATGCCGCTCATGCCCCGTACAAGTGGTGCCGCTCATGCCCCGTACAAGTGGTGCCACTCATGCCCCGTGCAGGTGATGCCGCTCATGCCCCNGTGGTGCCACTCATGCCCCGTGCAGGTGATGCCGCTCATGCCCCGTACAAGTGGTGCCACTCATGCCCCATGCAGGTGGTGCCACTCATGCCCCGTGCAGGTGGTGCTGCTCATGCCCCGTGCAGGTGATGCCACTCATGCCCCGTGCAGGTGGTGCCACTCATGCTCCGTGCAGGTGGTGCTGCTCATGCCCCGTGCAAGTGGTGCCACTCATGCCCCGTGCAGGTGATGCTGCTCATGCCCCGTGCAGGTGATGCCGCTCGTGCCCCGTACAAGTGGTGCCACTCATGCCCCGTGCAGGTGGTGCCACTCATGCCCCGTGCAGGTGGTGCTGCTCACTGCTGCCTGCTGCTGTTCGCAACGCTCTGCACTGCGCAGGAGGCGGAGCGCGGAGCCGGAGCGATGCCGGAGCGCGGGCACGCGGGGGCAGCACTCCGGGTGTGGGAGCACTCCAGCTGTGCAGTCACCTGTGGGTACAAGCTTAGGTGGTCATACAGGCTTGGGAAGGTCTCTACAGGCTTCGTGGGCCCATATGGACTAGTAGAAGCCTCGCCAGGCACCTGTGGGCTCCTGCAGGTCCCTTGCTGGCATCTACGTGCTCTTGGGCACCCGCATGGGCTTGTAGGTGCATCTACAGCCGCAGCCCAATGGGGCTCCTGTGTCACAGCAGACATCTCCCGAAGCGCCGTGGCGGGGAGGCCGCCCGCACGCAGCGGTCCCTGCCACCCACACTCGCTGCCGCCCGGGCTCTGCAGGGTCCCGGGGCTCGCCCACGCACTCGGACCGGGCGCCGCGGCCGCGCGTGTCCCGCTGACCCTGGCTCCAGCCGGCACAGGGTGCACTGCACAATCCCCTCTGCCTTGCCCCCTTTTCCCACTCCGGGGTGCTCCTTCCTCCCTTCCTCCACTTCTCCCTTTCCCTCTTTTTCCCATCTGTGCTTCCTCCTCCCCTGCTCACCCTCTCCCTCACTCCCTTTCCCACCTCCCTTCTTTTTCCTTGCCCATTCCACCTCTCCCTTCTCCACCTTTCCCTCTCCGTGATTGTTCCTCTCCTGCCTTTGCCTTGCCCCCTTTCCCCACTCCCTTCTTCTCCTTTTCCTGTTCCCCCTCTCCCTTTCCGCCCCATCTTTCCTCTCTCCATGCTTGTTCCTCCCCCACTCTACATCTCCCCTTGCGCCACCACCTTTGTCCCCTCGTGTCCCCATATCTCCTGTGTCCCCAGCTGTGTCCCCCCATAGCCCCATGTTCCCCTCTGACCCCACAAAGTCTCTGCACCCTACTGCATGTCTCCCACCTGCAGTGTCCCCATGTCCCCCAACATCCTCCCCGTGTCCCCCTATCACCCCATGTGGCCCAGGCACCTCCATGTCCCTGCATCTCCCCATATTCCCCCCCTCCCAGACCACTGTTTCCTCATGTCTCCGTGTCCTCGTGTGTCCCCGTGTCCCCCCACTGGCCGCAGTGTTCCTGTCCCCCAGCACCAGCCTGCGACCGCCATCCCCCGCTGCCGCCAGCCTGGGCACTGTGGGGTGTCACGAGCGCGTCTGGCCTCAGTGCAGGCAAGGGGCAGGGTGCAGGAGGGGTGGAGGTGGCACCTACCCCATGGGACACACAGCGTGGTGCAGAGGGTGACGTGGAGGGTGTAGGGACCCATGTGGGGGGGACACTGCACGTCGTGTGACGCAGCCACTGGCTGTCCCCAAGTCCCCACACGGTGCCACGTGTCCCGGGGGCAGCGCAGCAGCTTTAGGGACTATAAATACCCCAAGGCGGCGCTGGCGGGGGGGCGGGACACAGTGGGGGGGGCGTGGGGGCAGCTCTGCTATGGGCCTGGCCTGGCCCGGCCCGCGGCCCCGCGGCCCCCCCGGCCCTATGGCCTGCTCTGCTGCTCCCTGCTGCCACCCGCCCTGCTATCCCCTTCCCTGCTGTCCCCCATCCTGTCCCCCTCCCTGCTGCCACCCTCCCTGCTGTCCCCTGCCCTGTCCCCCGCCCTGCTGTGCACCCTCTTGCTGCCACCCCCCCTGCTATTGCCCACCACCCTGTCCCCAGTCCTGCTGTCCCCCATTCTGTCCCCATTCCTGCTGCCCCCCACCCTTCTACCCTCCCTGCTGTCCCTCCTCTTGTCACCCCCCCCGGGCCTCCTCCTGGTGTCCCCCTCAACCCTGTCACGCCCATTGGGACCCTATCCCCTGCTGCTGCCCCCCGCCCTGCTGCCCCCTCTGCCTCCCCCCGCCCTCCTGCTGCCCCCTGCACTGCCCCCCCCAGGGCCCCCGCTCCTGCCCCCCACCGCGCTGCCCCACTGAGGAGCGGAGCTCCAAGCGACGGGGCTCAGGGGGGGTCCGGAGCTGCCCCCCCACCACAAGGCGCCGTGAGGCAGTGGTGAGTAGGGGGGTGCGGGGGGCACTCGGGCATGGGGAGGCAGAGCCAGGGGAGCCCAGGTTGAGGGTATCGGGGGATGAAGTGGGGTGCGCAGGCAATGGGTGATTGCACAAGGAGCAGGGCACTTGCACGAGCACCAGGGCAGCTGCACGGGGGCAGCTGCATAAGGTTTAATGCATTTGAACGAGGATGGAGGGAGGCTTTGGCATGGGGCTGGGGCTCCTGCACAAGGCCAGAGGCACTTATGCAAAGAGAGGGTAATTTGCTCGAGGATGTGGGTATTTGCACGGGCCTGGGGCATTTGCACAAGGATAGGGAGGCTTTTGCACAACGACGAGGGTCTTTTTCACAGGGCTGGGACATTTGCACAGGTTGATGCATTTGCACAAGGATGGGCGCAGCTTTTGCATGAGACCTGGGACGTTTCCAAAGGGCTGGTGCTGACAGGGAGGTCCCGGATCTCCCCGCGCCCAGGGGCAACTGGGGGTCCAGGGTCACCTTCCCCAGGGCCACGTGGGTTCCCCGCACGTGGCATCGCGCAGCTACACACAGAATGGGGGCTAATTGTGCCAGATGGGGCCACGTGCAGCCGCGGGGGGGGCCATGCTGAACCCCTCCTGCACATGCCTCCCAAGCGCTAATCCCTGTGCAAAGCGCACGGGCTTAGCGCAGCACGAGCCATGCAGGCTGCTGCAGGGAGGGGGGTTGCACAGGGCCACGGGCAAGACTGGCCACGTGGGCTGTGCCGGGGCACCCGTGCTGCGCTGCAGTGGGGAATCGCTTCCCTGACAGTGTGTCAGGCTGAACAGCTGAGCGTTGCAGCCGTGCATTGCTGCAGCAGCAAGACAGGTGATGCTGAGCATTGCAGAGCTGCAGTGCAACGCAGTGCCTTGCAGCAGTGCAGGGCGGCGTGTTGCAGTGCTGGGCACTGCAGCGGTGCTGGGCACTGCAGCGGTGCAGTGCCATGCAGCGCCTGGCATTGCACCCGTGCAGTGCAGCCCTGCAGAGCCGGACCAAACCGAGCTTTGCCGCCGAGCGGAGCCGAGCGGTCCCGAGCGGCCCGGAGCCGAAGGCGGGAGCAGCAGCGAGCGGGGCCGAGCGCTGCCGAGAGCGCCCGGCCGGGGCCGAGCGCTGCCGAGCGGCTCCGGAAATTCCCGAGCGGCGCCGAAGGGCGCCGGTCCCGCAGTGCGGGCGGCACGTGCCCGCGCGCCGAAGTGTGTCAGTGGGGCAGCGGGCGGTCACGTGCGCGCGCCGCA